TATTTCTTATTTCTAATTGTTTGATACAATTCGAATTTAGAAATTTATTAATAAATATTTTTGCTATTAAATTTATGTTTTGAAATTAATAGATATTACGAATCTCGATTTAATTCTTTATTTTATATAATAAATTTGAATATCTCGATTTAATTTGTATTTCTTAAGAAAAAAATATATAATTATTTAATATTTAGACTTTACGAATTCGCAGAAAAATATATTTTTTAACTATGACGATTTATAAAACGACCTATTCAATTATTCCTATTCCCAATTCCCCTCTTCCAAACAGATAAAATAATCTAATCAGAAACATATTATTAATATTTTATCTTGGAGCTCTTCCCTCCAAAATAGAAAAAAATTATCCATCATTTATCTTCATCAGAAATTATAGCGATATAAACCATAATCTTATATTTTTATAAATTAATTCAATTTTAAGCCTATGCTTACAAATTAATCTTTCCATCTTAAGATCTTTATTATCTCTTCAATTCTTAAACAAATATAATTTACGACTTTCATTTTTTTCAATTAATTCCTTATATAATCTTTATATGTTTCTCCTTCCATCTTGTCTACTTTATTTCTTGATTAAATTTCAATATATTTCATATACTCATATTCTTAATATATAATATCTATTCAATTTATAGATAATCAAAAAATTCCCAGTCGTACTATACTAACTTGCTTAATTAAGACTTATATCGACTTTATTAATTAAATAATTAGAATATAGAACAAGAAATATAACAATCGTCGCCCTCGAGAAATCAAAGGACCCGAAGTGACGGCAACTAATATACGAATCGGCAACAAATACAGTCATAAATATAGTGACAAATAATACTAATCAATTTTTTACTACAATAATTTGAAATAATCTTCTATTTGACTTTTGTTTGAATTAATATAGATCAAAAGCTCCAATAAATATAGAATAATAATATAGCCGATGTAAATATATTTTCAGATGAATAAAATCATAAAGATATCTATTGACCCTAAAAGTTATGAAGATAACTGTTGAGTCCTCCAAGCGCCAGTGCAGTCAGGTTTGTTGAGGCTCCGTGCTTGTTTGGGTTTAAGGGACTTAGCACCCTGGAATTCCAAACCCACAACCATTATGGAAGCATCCAGCCCAAAGGTTCAGAGAGCTTTGGGGGCTTAGGGTATACTAGGGTCTAGGGGGGATTAGCGTTGATTGGTGTGAGGGTCTAGGCCCGAGCATTGTAGGGTTTAGGATAACCATGGAGATTCCGAAAGTCCTATCCCCTACTCAACTGGCCAGATTGCGAAGGCGAAGACCAACAGATTCTGGCAACACCAGGCCTTCCAAGGCCATTTCCCGCCTTTCTGCTTTGCCGGAGTGTGGCTGATGCAGACGCCCAACTGCATTCAAACAGGTGCAGACCTAGTGAACAGTTTCAAGCTAAAGACCCTGCACAGCACTACCAGCATTACCCCAGGTCACCGCGGATCCATCGCCAAGAATGGCAGCAAAAGCCGAGCCAGACGCTCGGATGTGCCACAAGTCCTTCAGCTGATCCTGCACGGCACTGCTGTCGCCACCACAGCCAGCGAGACCCCAGGTCACAACAGATCCATCTTCTAGAATAGCAGCGACGACAGGCTTGGATCTGCTGCACAGTCTTCAGATGGCACTGCACAGCAGCGAGACCCCAGGTCACAACACATCCATCGTCTAGAATAGCAGCAAAAGCGCGGCGAGAGGCTTCGGACTGCTGCACAGTCTCTAGATGGCACTGCACAGCACTGCTGTCAGCACCAGAGTCCGCATGACCCCCGGTCACCACGGATCTATCACCAAGAATGGCAGCAAAAGCAGCACCACAGCCTTGGAGCTGCTGCACATTCTTCAGCTGACTCTGCGCAGCGCTGCTGTCGGCAGCGAACCTAGCATCACCCCATGTCACGACGGATCCATCGTCAAGAATGGCAGCAAAAGCACCGAAAGAGGCTTGAATCTGCATGTTCTTCAGCTGACCCTGCACAGCACTGCTGTCGCCACCGCCGTCAGCACGACCCCAGGTCACAACCGATCCATCGGCAAGAATGGCAGCAAAAGCCGAGCCAGATGCTTGGATGTGCTGCACGTTCTTCAGCTGATCCTGCACAGCACTACTGTCACCTCCATACACAGCATTGCCAGATCATAACCGATCCATCGCCAAGAATGGCAGCAAAAGTGCTGGCAGAAGCTTGGATCTGCTGCACATTTCTCGGCTGATCTTGCACAGCACTACTGTCACCTCCATACACAGCATTGCCCCAAACTACAACGAACCCATCGCTACAGACGGCAGCAAAGGCGCCACTAGGAGAGGCTTGGATCTGCTGTACGTTTTGCAGCTGACCCTGCACAGCACTGCTGTCGCCACCAAGTTCGGCATGACCCCAGGACACCACGGATACGTCGCCAAGAGGGGCAGCGAAAGCCGAATAGATTCATCTTATATTGTCAAACAAATGTTCAATAGGTAATTTCTATGACTTCTTATTCGGTAATGTTCCAGTCGTGATATTTTCCGAGAAGTTGCTTGTCTTTTTCTCAATTTCAGGTAACTGGCGGCATTCTCCGCCGAAGCGCACCACAGCCCTTTCGCACGCACTGATAGCTGCATCGAAGGAAATGACGTCAGCCTTCAGCTGCCTGAGTATTCGGAGGCTTCAAGTTGCTATCTGCCATCGATTATTCAGGCTTTCTGTCTCCTTAGCTGTATATACATAGACATTCATATACAGTACATCAGTACATATACATGACATGTACATGCACATGTGCATGTAGGGTCTTGGCGTCTCAAGGTCTAGCAGATAAGCTGCTGGCCCACAAAGTACAAGCCTTCGGTAGAGTCGACAGAATTCTCAATCCATCTCTTGAGAAGTATATCCATCATTTGCGTGCGGCTTTCCGTGAGAGTGCGGCGTTTAGCCAAGCTCCAAACCCCGAAACGCTAAACCCCCAAACACTCAAACTTGGGAAAGGAGTCGAGGGCTTATGGCTTCTGAAATCGACAGGTGCTGGAAAACTCGCGGTCCCAATGATGTGTACGAAGACAGCCTACTGCACCAATAAATCACTTTGCATGCATTGTGCAGTTCTCACGCCACTTACCCAAAGCACATTGATTCATAGTTTGAAAGAAAGAATGAATGAAGGAAGGAAGGAAGGAAGGAAGGAAGGAATGCATGGATGGATGAAGGAACGAATGAAGGAAGGAATGAATGAATGAAGGAATGAATCAATGAATGAATGAACCAATGAATGAATGAATGAACGAATGAATAAATGAATGAACGAACGAATGAATGAATTAATTAGTCAATGACTGAAACAATGAATGAATCAATGAATGACTCAATCAATCAATGAATGAACGAATGAATGAAATGGATGCATGAATGATGGCAGGATGAATGACACATGGATGGCTGGCTGGATGCATGGATGAAAATGTTCGTTGAAAGGGTTGACGGAAGGACGGCGTACGAACGAAAGACTGAATGACTGGAGGAATGCATGAGTGAAAAAGGCATGAATGAACGAATGAATGGATGAAAGAATGAATAAACGAATGACTGAATGCAAGAGTGAATGAAGGCACGAGGTAAGGAAGGAATCAACGAACCATGCTCATCGGATGCGGTTTAATTTAATTCGAAAACAGACAAACCTTAAACTTGGAGTAGTGCCGAGCATCGCCAGATCCATCTCATGCAGAAGCTGCAGTGCCTGTTGCCATTGCGCTGCTTTCTCGCAAGCGCTAATCGAGGCGTTGCAGGCGATGAGACTTGGCTGGAGCAGTCTCCTTGGTCCGGATTGCCCTGCAGGCACGAAGCCCTAAACCCTAAATCCTAAACCCCAAACCCTAAATCCTAAACCCTAAACTCCAAACCCTAAATCCTAAACCCTGAGCCCTAAACAACCCTAAACCCTAAACCGTCCTAAACCCTAAAGCCCTCAGCCCACACCCCGGCTTCGAAGCCCCGAAGCCCCAAGCACCCCTGCTGCAGGTATGCGGTTTAGGATGGGTTTAGGGGTTTAGGG